TCCTAAAGATTATACCTTGCTAGAAGCTGTTTCCATTTCTAACGAGCAATTTGGCAATAAAGATCAAATGCCTTGAACAAAAGTATATCTTTGTTTCTGGCAATCCCATGTCGCTGATAAATTTCTAAGAACTGGCTGGGCGCTCAGGCCTGTAATCCCACCACTTTGGGAGACCGAGGTGGGTGAATCTCTTGAGGCCAAGAGTTTGAGACTAGCGTGGCCAACATGGTAAAATCCAGTCTCTACTAAAAATACAAAAATTAGACAGGCATGGTGGTGCACACCTGTAATCCCAGCTACTTGGGAGGCTGAGGCACAAGAATCGCTTGAACCTGGGAGGCAGAGATTGCAGTGAACCAAGATTGCACTACTGCACTCTAGCCTGGGTGACAGAGGGAGACTCCATCCAAAAAAATTTTTTTAAAAACCTGTAAAAATTTGCAAATTTGCTTACCAGGGTGTTCACAGCAACAGTATTTTATTATAACTGTACCAAACAAACTCAACCATAAGGAACAACCAAATAAATCCTTGACTCTTCATTTTCTCTCATACCTCCACATGTAATCCAGGTGGCTCTATCTTCAAAACATGGATATCCAGAATCTGGCCACTGCTTAGCACCTCCAGCACTGCCACCCTACTCCAAGCTACTGTTACCTTTCATCTGGATTTTTGCCTCCTTGCTGACTCTTGCCACCTCACACAATAGCCAGAGTAATCCTTTAAAACCCAAGTCAGATTATGTCAATCCTCTGCACAAAAATACTCCAGTGTCTCCCCATCCCTTTTTCAAACCAAAGCCAGAAACTACAGGTCAGTGGTTACGAGGCAGTTTATGATTCTGTCCCAACCTCACGCCACCCCACTATGCTCTCATCTTCTACAGCCCTCTGCACTCCAGCTGCAGTAAATCTACATATCGGGTACACTCATGCCTCAGGGCCTTTACAGTTACTGTTCCCTGTGCCTGAAAATGTTTTTCCCCCAGAGATCCTCATGGCTTGCTCCTTCACCTTCTGCTTAAATTGTCACCTTGTCAGTGAGGTCATCCTTAAAACCCTATTTAAAATAGCAACTATAGACAGGGCTCCATCCCAGAATCTCTATCAGCCTTTGCACTCCATTTTTTTCCATTACACTGAATGCCCTAACACGCTATGTATTTTACTTGTTTGTTTACTCTCTCTCCCAAATAGAATAATAAGGCCCCTAAAAGCAGGGATTTTTATCTTATTTTTTCACTGCTGTATCCCCAGAATAGTGTCCAGAAGAGCGGGTCCTCGTTAAATATTTGAGTGATTTTTGGAATACTGGGTGATAATTAAAAATCACGTTACAAAAAATTTTAATACAATGTTAGAAACTAGTGGAAAGGGAAAGAGCACGTTATCAAAGAATATGTAACCCATGGATCAAGAAGAAATCATATGGGAAATTGAAATGCATTTTTCACTGAATGTTAACAAGAACACTTCAAAATCAGTGGGATTCAGGTAAAGCAATTCTTAGAGGAAAATTTGTAGCTTTAAACTTCGTATGAGAACATCAGAAAGGTTAAAATCAAAACAATATAAAAATGAATGTTCCAAACAAACTTTGTGTCTAAAACAAATACATATATAAAAGACATTAACACTTTTTTCTGGTTATTTCTGGTGGTAAGATTACCAGCAATTTGCTTTTGTGTGTGTGTGTGTGATGGAGTCTCACTGTTTTGCCCAGGCCAGAGTGAAGTGGCGCGATCTCGGCTCACTGCAAGCTCTGCCTCGTGGGTTCACATCGTTCTCCTGCCTCAGCCTCCCGAGTAGATGGGACTCCAGGTGCCCGCCACCACGCCCAGCTAATTTTTTGTATTTTTAGTAGAGACGGGGTTTCACCGTGTTAGCCAGGATGGTCTCGATCTCCTGACCTCGTGATCCGCCCACCTCAGCCTCCCAAAGTGCTGGGATGACAGGCGTGAGCCACTGCTTTTCTGTATGTTAGTTTTTCTCTAGTGAACAGGTATTATTTTTATAATTAAAAAAAAAAAGGTTTTAAAAAACATCCTTTCCCTGTGGTTGAATTCTAATTGCTGGCCTCTTCCTCTGCCTGTCTCTTAAAATACTTCTCTGGATTCCATCCTTGTCCTTCATCAACTTGTATTTATTCCTTAGGAATCTTACCCACTTTCTGGATTCATTTATAACCTGAAAATTGATTTCTCAATTTTTTGTAATATCCTGAATTAGAGACTCATGTTTCCAACCACTTAAAGGATACTTCTATCCAGGTGGAAATCCTACAGCCACTCAAATTTAACAGGCCTAAAAGGAACTCATTATCATTTCCTAAAACTTGTTCTTTTCATCTTTAATACTGGTTAAAGACATCACTATGTACCCTGGTTCTCAATTCTATCAGTTCTACCTTAGAAATCTCAATCAAATCTAACTTTTCTTCTCCCTCACCAATGCCATGTTTTCAACATAGGCATCTTCTATCAGTTATATTCTAAAATTCGAATCCTAACTTACCCTCCTGCTATCACACTCTCCTCCTTAAGAACTGAATCCTGATAAGGGTTGCTGCATACAGCCTGAAGTCTGCACCACTAGAGAAGGTTGCCATCCATGTAAATTATGATTGTTAATTGTGCCCAATGGCCTAATCATGATACTCCCCCTGCTTTCAAACTTTATGAGATAAAACAAACCTATAGCACTATAAAATCCTTCAACTGGCTCCACTTTCTATTTTTCTAGCTTCAGGTTCTCATCATTCCTCTATGCACCCTGCAATCCAGACATATTTAACTTTTCAGTATGCCCTATCAAAACCCACGCTTCTATGGATTTCTCTTTAGTCTATGGTGCCCTCTCTCCGTAAAACTTCTAAATCCTTCAAACTACAGTTCAAATGTACCCTCCTCTGGGAAGCATTTTTTGACTAGCCTAGACAAAGATACTTCACTAGGCATTTTGCTAACAGTTCTATTACAGAATTTGTTGCACCGTATAATAATCACATATACCCATCTCCCAAATTCAGTGGAGAGTTGAGCAGTGCATAAAGAAGCCCCATATTTGAACCCTCAGTAACTACAATGTGCAGCCCCTAAAAGGGGCTCGATTCATGTTTATTAATACTATACTTACCATATGCATTAGGACAACTTTTTAAAAGTAAATAAAAAATGAGTTTAACAAAAAAGTTACATGTTCAACCGTCAATCTAAGTCTATAATCCATGTGGCAGACAGAACTGATGTGACTCTTCTTGATTCCTACACTTCCTGGTGTTTAAACCTTTGTATAATTCCCTCCCCTTGCACGTGAACTGGACCTATGGCTTGCTTCTAATCAATGAAATACAGCAAAGGCAATGGGTTGTATGTGATTACATGTACGTGATTATGTAAGAACATAGCACCAGTTCACCTTTGCTAGACTCTTCCTGTGCTGACTTTGAAGAAGCAAGCTGCTCTGAACCTAACAGACACAAAGAAATAAATTCAGCCAATAACCCAAGGAAGTCTGGGGGCAGACCTTTCCCCAGTTGAGTCTCTAGATAACAACCCAGCCCTGGCCAACACTTTGACTGCAGTCTTACAGAGGACATAGCTAAGTTGTGCCCAGCCTCTTGACCCATAGAAATTGTGAGGTAGTAAATCTGTTGCTTAGAACCACTAAATTTGTAGTCATTTGTTAATAAGCAGCTTAGAAAACGAATAAAATCAGAACCTAAGGCATTTCTGAACTCTTTTTTCACAAAAAGGCCTACGTTTTGTCCAATTTCTAAACAAGTAAATGTCATGTACATGCAAAATTAAAACACAGACTAACATTTCAAATTAACAATAGTTCTTAAGAATATTTACATAACGTAAAACTTAGGAAGTAATTTGCTATATAAAGCAGTTCCTACACTCTCTTTTAACACATTTGCCAATATACCCAATTTTACATAATACTTAGTAGATGTAATAAGTGTAACATTAGGGCAATTCTCCTTACAAGCGCAAACAATAATAAATAGTTTAAAAGTTGATATCTAATTAACGATATTTGGTAGTCAGAAGAACTTACTTACTAGTCATCAGGCAAAGCAATCAAATTGGAGGACAGCAAGGGACTCGCTGGAGATGTGCCTGAGGGAGTAGGACACTATCTTACAACAACAGGGCTCTTATCCCCTCAGGCACTGCACCAGCCAGCAAAGCATCAAAATACCAGGTTCTCAGGTCATGCTGCTCTCAGATCAGGTGATGCCCTGTGCAACTCACCAATCCTCCCCACCTTGCAGTCAAGAATAGTTTCAAAAAATCCCCAAAGCAGAAACTTCCACGACACAGGCCACACTTACACACAGCAAAGCATATAATATGAAGGTATGAAATTACAAGTGAGAAACAATAACCACCAAAATTCTTGTTACTTCAGGAGTGGCAGGGGTTGTGGTTAGAAGGCTCATTTTTCTTAGAAAGAGGCAAACATTCCTCTTCTGCCACTCCCCGTAAAAGCCTTCAATGGCACAAAATAACATTCAAGAATAGGAAATAAATTACAATATCCCAAATTCAAACATTTTGGCACTTGATATTGGTAAGAAGTGATAACTGAGACCAATTCAATAATGGTTAATTGATGAAGACAACCTAACACCATAAAACTTCACATCTGCCTTAAAAATTAAGAGAAATCTTCCTAGAAATATAGGTCTTCTTCAACATACTCAGTTTTAAGAGATAACCCGCACTCCTTCAATATAAGAAAACATGTTTCACAAGTAACAAGGCACCTGAATGACAATCAGACTACTGAAATACTCAAGAGCAAGCCACACCCAAGAAAGCTCAAGAAAATCAGAAGGCCAAAAGCAACCCCACACCACTGGTTGTCTGAGATTAAGTCATTTTACATTTTCACTTCCGGACTCAAGGACACATTTAGAAGTCCACACGATTTCTCTGGAAATAATCTCCATTTATTGGTATATTTCTATAGCCCAATTCATCTACCCCATTCTTGCCGCATCATTAAAAGGCTATTTTACCACTCATATTATGCTCTTATGAACAATAGCTACTTGACAGTGGGAAAAAAAACGTAGATATAAATTAAAGCCAGACAAACCCCTCTAAGATACCATCAAGACTTTTAAACGTTAGGAAATACCCTTAAGACCCGTTTTAAAACAAAGGTGATGGACAATACTAGCAGTAGTCGAGAAAGTGTCTGTTCACTTTAACACTCCCCAGTCTGAAAAGAATAACAAAGACAAGATTTACTTCACCTAAAAACTCCTATATAAATATAATCATATTCTGATGTCCGGCAACTCAATTCTAGGAAATTTCTACAAACTGAAATATCTGGATTAGGCATTTTTCTTCCAGTCTCTAGAGAAAATAAGAGCGTATATAGCCAAAATAGATGTACAAAAGACAGCAAAACATAAAACCAACACAGAAAACTTCCTCGTTCAATGTGGCAATTCATTATGAGGGAACTACTAACAATTCCACCTGCTAGACTCTTAAGTGTTAAAAATAAAAAGGGGGGACTGTTTTTCATTTTCTATAAATTACATGACAGCTCACAAGAGAATAATTTTGAATCTTATTGGTACCATATTTTCTTATTAGGAGACGTGAATAATCTAAACAACAATTAAAACAACAGCTTTACAAAAAACAATATGAACTTTCCATTAATTCTAAAATAATCCTTTTATCAATTTTAAGATGGGTTATTTGTATATAACCATTTATAAAATTTGTAACTGAATAAACACAATAATGCTATAATAGATACTAAAAAATCAAGTAAATGTGAAGTATAGTCAAGTCTAATTTTTTAAATTATAAGATCTAGCTCCCTAAATCTCATGATGATGAGAAACACACTTCTATTATTTTCCTAATAACCCGTCCACTAAAATATAGGTAAAAATCTCAGTAAGGCATGCCACTAAGATGGGGTTTCACATAAGTGTATTCCATCTCCCTGTCTCAACAAAAATTTCAGGATGTGGCACCTTCATTTGATCCTGTCATACAGTAAGAACAGGTAATTTCTCTGATCCCTTTCCAGCAATTCTCAACTGAGGTTCCTCATCTGAATCACTAAACACAGGCAATTTTTTCAGTGACTGTTTTCTCAACTGTTCCAAGAATGACACATAACTAAAACTGTCCTAAATGCACTGGAGCTAAAAGTTAAAATGCATTGCACACTACAGCACAATTGTCTCCACAAAGCCGGTTGAGAAAGACTGCTATAAGTTTCTCAGAAACTGTCACTGTACTACTAGGTCCCAGTCACCCAACCCCAACAGCACTAAAAGAACTATAGTGACTGCACAAATCTACAACTTAGATAAGAAAAAAGAGAAATGCTTTATCTCCAACTATAAGCAACTAGGTATTTTGACTTACTCATTTACTAGGAATAACATGGGGCTCAACTGTCCCGTGCTCTGAATGGAATGCATTTACTTAACAAAGTAAACCCATAGAAACATGTTTCTCAAAGGGAATTATCAGCTCTTAGAAAATGAATTTTTAAAAATCAGCATATTAAATATTAACTATTAACTTGACAAGGCTTTTCCTATTCACCCTTCTTTAGCGAACTTATTCATCTTTTGATAACTGCTAAATGCAAGTTTTCACTTTAAAAAGATAAAGATAAATATTAAAAACCAGTTTGCCCTTCAATCTCACACTAATCACCAATTCTCAGAATCTGCCTTTTATATTCTTCAATGTGGACTACAGCAACTTCAACTTAGTTTAGTTGTGATCAAATCACTTTAAGGACACCAGGAGAGTTCTTTTACTCAAAAGCAAATGACTTTTAAAAATGGCCCAATTTTAAGAGGGATGAATATTTTTAAGAAGCAAAAATTAATTTAAAACAAGGTAGCTAATTAAAAGTCAAGCGTCATTCCATATTGAATGTGCAAAGCGTTACTAAAAAGATGGGAAAAATTAAACATGACATTCTTATTTTTAATTTATGCTGGCGTGTATGCTGATAGTACAGAACATCAGAACAGATAAATTACTACGTATTCCACTTTACTAAGTCTCCACTCAAAGTTCCTACGTTTACAAATATATGAGTAAAAGAGGCACAAAAATGTAGGGGATGCTGTTTTCGCTGTTCATCTGCGCTCAGCTGCGAATTCTTCTAATATTGGATGCATAATGCGATGAAATGGGAATGCTTATCTTCTATATTTGTATTTATTTTCATAAATCGGGGAGGGGAGGTGGTCTTGATTCATTTACTATTAGCGTTTTGCAATAAAGTAGATCAGCATAAAACATAACTGAAGAAGTAGAATTCACTTTTCCCAGGACAACGCACCCTTCCTCCTGTTTCTATAGTAAAGCACATCATTTTGCTATTAAAAATGTCCATTTTCCACAACTGACTTTTTCTTAACTCTAGTCAACACTGCTCTTCAAAAGAACCTAGCCAATTACTGTACCTTGTAGGCAGAGTTGCAAAATTTTTACTTCCTTAGGAAACTTTTCCACTTTTTAAATGCTTTCCAAATTAAGCAGGACTCACATTAACTGTGACCTTAAGTAGCGGTTCAGTGGGGTTTAAAAACAAACTTTTCATTAACGCTTTCCTCCAATTAAAGTGACATAGTAAGTGGGACTGACACGGATTTAAGGATTACAGCTTTTTATTAAAGGTCGGTCCAAAGATGGTAACTCAGCGTTCATTCGAGACCCTTTGACTTTTGGCCTTTAAAAACTGTTCCCCACTGAGTCCCCAGATAGAACTACATTTAGCAACGGGTCTCCTCCTGACTTCCCGGTACCAAAAGCCACAACCACAAGGGCTGTTTCGTCGGTTTGTTGTAAAACAACATTTGCTGCAGTCATCTCTCTGAAAAACAGACTTTCTCTACCGGGGAGCCGCTGAGGTGAGGGTGCTCACGATGTTTAAAAACCAAACCACGCGTCTACGCGACAGCGCCACCGCAGCAGTTAAGTGCCAGGGGTTTCTTCCCAGGATGGAGACCTGCGGGGGCTGGGCCGGGAAGCAGCCCCCGGCGCCCCGGGCGAAGGAGAAAACAAGGCTAAAAATAGCCGGCGGCCACAACCCACGTGCAGCCGTGGGAGGACCGAGCGCGGGCGCGCGGAGAGGGGTCCGTACCTCCAAACTTGCGCGGCGACAGGTGAGCTGGTAAGGAGCGAATCACCGGCCGCGGCACCCGGGTCCCGGCCGCCGCCGCCGCCGCCGTCTTCAGGGCTGCTGTGCACCGAGTCCTGCGAGCCGTAGGGGCCGCTGCTGCTGTTCGGGATGCTGAAGGAGGACTGCGCCGCACGGGCCGCCGACGCCACGCTCCCCACGGCCCCGCCGAGGCAGCGGCTGCGCGGGGCTGCCGAAGCCGCCGCGGCGCCGGCCGCAGCGCTGAGCTGCTGCGCATTGGGCACCTGAGCCGGGAACCTCCGCGCAGCGGCGGTCAGAGCGCCTCCGCCGTCCGCGGTCCCATTAGCCCCTCCGCTGCTACTGGAAAGTAGATCTGAGCCCGAGCACGCGCGCGTGCGACTGTTAACTGCTGTCGGGCCGCTCTGCTTGGCGCTCATGTCCTCCGCGCTGCGCCCGGAGAGCCCAGAGGGCAGGAGCGAGCGCGGGAGCTAGAGAGCAGGGCCCAGGCGCCGCGGCCGGTCCAGAGAGGCCTCCGCGCGTACAGGGCCGCCGCCCGGCGCCCCCTTCTCTGGGCGGCGGGCGAGGCTGGCGGCTTGACGCGGCCGGGGGAAACGAGGAGACGCGCAGAGGAAGGGGTCCCGGCTGCGCGCACCCCTCGCTGGCTCCAGCAGGAAGGGGCGCCTCAGTTGACCGTGCGGCTGCAGCTGGTTTTGCTTCTGGTGCGCCACAACGGGTCGCTGGTGCTCTCTGCTGCTGCGCTCGGCGCCCCGAGCCTCGGCACAGCCTCCTCTCGGGCGGCCGCTGCTAGCGCCGCTATCCTCCGGCTCCCAAGGCGGCTGGCGGCTGAGCGGGAGGCGCCCGCCCAGACTCCACCGGGGCCACCTTCCCTCCTCCCCCAGCCGCCCAGCTGTTATTAACGGAGAAAGAGGGAAAAACGGGTGGCGCGCGAGGGGAGGACGAAGAATGGGAGGGAGGGGTGGCACGCGCTTCCTGGCAACCGTCGCCTTGCTCCCCCTGCGAGATTAATTTCACAGGAGATTAATTTCTCATTTACAAATAAAAATGTGAGTTTAGAACAGAATGTTTTAAAAAGGTAAAATCATTCATTGCATACTATATGCCAGCACTATACTTAGGACATACATGACTATATATGTGAGCTCTTATCTCACTTCTCTTGTAGAACAGTTATTATTAAACTCATTTGAGAGATGAAATGATTGACAGCTGTTGAAGGATTTCTTGAAACCATAGAAACTATAACTTGCAGAGTCAGAATTTCCGTTCAGTTCTGACATCAAAGCTATGCTTTTCCTACTATATCAGGCTGTATAATAAATCTACACTTGTGAGACGTGGAAAGATGTTTACGATGTTTAGTGATATATATTACATTAACATTGATAATGTGATCTCATTAGGTAGTATTGAGTAACTCTTAATTTCATGTTTTAAATGCCTAGGGGGAGGACTGGAAAGATAATCACCAACATTTTTTTTGTTTTTTTGAATTGGAGTTTCACTCTTGTTGCCCAGGCTGGAGTGCAGTGGTGTGATCTTGGCTCATTGCAGCCTCTGCCTTCCGATTTCAAGTGATTCTCCTGCCTCAGCCTCCTGAGTAGCTGGCATCACAGGCGCCTGCCACCATGCCCAGCTAATTTTTGTATTTTTGGTAGAGATGGGGTTTCACCAGTTGGCCAGGCTGTTCTCGAACTCCTGACCTCGTGATCTGCCCGCGTTGGCCTCCCAAAGTGGTGGGATTACAGGCATGAGCCACGGCGCCTGGCCAATCACCAAAATACTAAAAATGGTTAGCTCTTAGAGGTGCTTACTTTCCTTTTTCAACTCTTTATTTTTTTATTTTTCCCCCAGTGATCTCACAATAGTTTTCCAGAATGTATAATGTTATTTTTAAAAAACCTCTGAGACATAAACATTCTGTCAGAAATTTTTTTGTTGTTATTTTTCCTTTGTCTTTGAATATGTTACAAATAGCTTGCAGATTGGAAACAACTGGTTAATTAAATCTTCTGCTTGGTTAAAGTGGTAATGCATACAGGTGCTATTATTTCATTATGTTCCAGTTTTTATAATATACTTTATATATTTTATGAAGGAATAAATTCAAGGATCTAAATGAAATGAATTTTGAAATGTTTCTATAAATCTTTGTATTTTTCTATTAATCACCATATTTTAATTATATGCTTTTATATTGACTTAACAGTTACTATTATTTATATTACAGAATTGGTTACCACATATGTAATATTTTTCTATATAGAAGCATAATGTATAATTTTGAAGTGACTGATTCACAAGTGAAATGATCTAAATTGTCAGAGTTTATAATGTTTAAGGCAACCATCACAAAATGGTACTTTGGAAAGATTATGAAGAGAATGTATTTTCCTCCATTATCTCTTTTTTTTTAGTCTTTTTTTTT